ATTATACCCTAATAATCACAACACACATGCACCATGATTGCCAAAAGCAGACTGCTTCACAGCCTAACTCTCAACTTTAACAGCCCTGTCATCCTCTGCTCTGGCTGGAATGGTCCAGCCTCTGAATGAGACAGAAAAAAATTGCTGTAGTTGTCCCCAAGAATGATCCATGCTCACTTACCATGCCCAGGAACACAAGCCTAGGAATCCAGGTTTAGACCCAGCTGGGTAGTTCCCGAAGCAACAAGAAATCTTCCCCATATTTCAGAAACTCACAGTCACAACTGACCCCTTGATAGCACCTTGACTGTGAAATGTTCCAGCTGACAGAAAGAACAAAAAAAGAAAAAAGATGCTGGATCATGCCCACGATGCACTGTCAGCTGTGGGTCAGTAGAACTGGTAAACCACTTCCTTGGACTAAGGCACTAGTGTGGATTTCAGCAGAGCTACAAAACAGTTTTCCCAGTTAGCATCACTGAAAACCTGTTTTCACTAAGTCCAAGCTATCTGTCACATATTTCTCCCAGAGGTTTTACACATGAAAAGTTGCTTCTCCTTCCCCACAGAGGATATGATTGAGCTGTATAGAGCTCTGAGAAAGTGACCCATCATTGATATTTAACATAATGGGAAAGGCTTTGCTTGGTTACCAGGCATGGTACATAGCTTGTCTTCTATAGGCCCTTTTCCTTAAGGCAGAGAGTCATTCTTCATGCCTTTCTGACTAAAATGAAAGGCTGAAGGTGCCCACCCATGTCTATTTAGAAGCGATTAAGTGAAGTGCAATTAAAAGAAACTGGAGATCCTCATGCCTAAGAACACTGATGGAGCAGAGGTGACTTGCTGCAGAGACAAACAGGCAAACACCACTCAAAACACACATCCGAGTATAGTTACTGCTGCATTAGTGTTTGGAAGGTTTGACAAATCTGACCAGTGAAAACTGAAATTAACAACCAGTCTGTGGAGGTTTTTTCAGCTTGTGGACATGAGGATGAAAAGAAATAAATGGTGTAGTTAGGGTTGGCGGTTTTTGTTTGTTTTAAACAAGCACACCACTCGCATTTCACACAACTTAACATTTCTGTTCTCAGTAAAACCATGCTGTGATCTCAGCTTCTCAGAAATTGGTCGACAAGCATTTACCCAAATAGTGGCAGAAATCCTTTATGTAAAAATTTACAAATTTGCACATTTACTTTAAAAAGAATCTTTAAAAATTGTTCATTCCTATTTCTCATTTTCATATCCAGTATAATTTCAAATTGGTTTTTTTTCCCATCAATTATCAATGCAAAAGGAAAGCTTAATTGAAAAAGGAAAACATGAAAAAATAAAAAATAAACAAAGATGACAAATACCAGATTGTCATCTGCCACATGCAACTATCTACCCAGAAATAAAAAAAGAAAATAAAACAAAATCAGCTCTTATTTCTGCACTTCTGCTGGATGTGCAACTTTGACCTTCTATGTTTTAGGGCCCCCCATGTCACTTTCTGGTTTCTAACACAAAATTGCTAAGAGAATCCATTTGCTATAAGTGGAAAAAAAGTGCTATGTATGCAGCACATACCTCAGAGTCCATTTTCAAACAAAAGTCAGATAGGTATTTCCCCAACTCAATCTTTAAAAGTTTCAAGTGTTTCAAGAGCTATACCAGGGGAAGTTTAGGTTGGATAATAGGAAGAGATGTTTTACAGCGAGAGTGATCAGGCATTGGAATGTGCTGCCCAGGGACGTGGTGGATTCACCATCCCTGGAGGCTTTCAAGACGAGACTGGATAGTAGGGGTGGACTCTATGATCTTTGAGGTCTCTTCCAACCCAGTTGATTCTATGATTCTATGATATTTAGAGAAAGAGAAAAACTACTTATTAAACAGATTTTTCTCCCTAGTGACACTGGCTCAGGAAAGGCAAAGACTTTTGTGGTTAAAGTGTGAGGTTTATTACTTAAGTACAAGTTCAAGTAACTGAGTTCTCATTAGTAGCTGAGCTGGTATCAGACTGCTTGTGCCTACACTGTTATTAGTTCATCTGTATAGTTCTTGGATAGTAATTCTGATAGATTCTCTCTGATAAGACATGAGGGTTGACTGTCTCTGCTTTCCCACATGAGGGCATGAAGTTCCTAGTCTGCAACAGAAAGAAAACATGTACCATTATATTACATTGTAGAATTTTGTGGAACCATTATTCCTATAGCATCCAAACAAAATACAAGAGCAGAGAAACCTGGTAGGTAGCATTACTTTTGTAAAAGAACTGTGAAATTATTTCTCTGAGCTCTGTGAGCAAAAGCATAAAGCACAGAGAGCAAAACGTGAACTGGCAGAGAGATGCAAGAGCAGCCTTCACAAAGCCTAAACAGGACAGCCTTTGAATATTTTTTTTCTTATTGTGATCAAAAACAAATTTTGAAATGTTGGTATCTTCAGCAAAACAGATTATAATGAACAATGCTAACTTCTCTGAAAAAAAAAACCCTAAACCAAACAAAAACGAACAAACAAACAAAAAACCCAACAACACAAAAAAACATGCAGACCACAAGCAATCCAATTTAGGCACCTAAAATTAGTGGAAGCATTTAACTTTGATCTCTGCAATTCTCACTCCCGTCAGTCAAACTGTCCTGAATGCCATGGAAGAGCATATCAGGAAATTAATCATTCTAACTTCAGAGCACTCTGACTCATTTGCAACAAACAAGGCATACAGCCATTAATTAAACCATGAGCAGAAAACAAAATATGAAATAATTGCTTTTTCAATGTGCCTTAAGTGAGGCAGAAGCCCTGAGGAAAGAACAGCATATTATCATGCTGTATCACAACACAATGGAATTAGAGAGGAAGTCAAATTTGTGGTGGCAAATTTATCATTGCTGTTTCCTAGCTTCTAAATATTTGAACTGCAGCTTAGAAAAGTTTTATAGCTGTGTTTTTCTCTAATACAGTAAAAGAAAATGCCCCCTTTTCCCTCATTGTAACATGCATGTCTGGTTTAATCCAATCTTTAATCCTGTGGGTTTTTGCCATTGAGAATATAAATTTTTAAGCAAAACATCAGAGTTAAGTTTATTCTGTGAAGCAGAAATATGAAAACATGAAGCTTTGGGAGATTTAAAATTCAGCATTGTAAGTGTAATTTATAGTATTCTTAGGCAGGAAATGCACTACACCACTTTCGATCAAGTGCTTAAACAATTACTCAGATACTCTGACAATGCATGAAGATGGGGCCATCCAAACAATAGACATCATCCCAGATGCACTGTGTCTCATTCCCTCCTCCAAGCACACACAGAGATAAATGGGAGTTTTTTCACAGCGGGCACAATGCAATGAAATTACATGTTTTACTGAGGAATATACCAAAAACTGCAAAGCACACGCAAAAAGTCCACTTACTGCAAATGGTTCTGCTGGCCAACACACCAATCTATGTAACCAGAGAGCTGAAAGTAGGATGTCGGGAAGTTAAAATGGTTTGGTGGGTCAAGGTGCACAGCTGTTGTTTCTAGGGTCCTCCTCTAGCTGCCCTCAGCTGTTGAAAGACTTACTTCAAACTACAGTTACACTCATAGGTTAAGTTGTTATTTTTTATGTCTTGCTCTTGAGCACACTATGGTTTTATTTTTCCCTTCACCGAAACTTTTAGTCTCATTGGGTGTCATGATCTCTGCTGGCATAGAGTTCATTTTTTCTTACTGCTGTGTTTTGCTTTTGGTATGAGAAATGTTATCGCACACTGATGTGCAGTTGTTACTAAGTAGTGCTTACTCTAAATCAAGGACTTTTCAGTTTCCTATGAACTTCCATTCAGGAGGAGCACAAGAAGCTGGGAGCGAGCATGGGGGGGACAGCTGACCCAAACTGGCCAAAGGGATATTCCACACCACAGAATGTCATGCTCAGTACATAAACTGGGTAGAGTTGGCCAGGAGCCACCTATCACTGCTCAAGGATGGACTGGATATCCATCAGTCAATGATGTTTTTCTCTGATTTCTCTCTCTCCTTTTCACCACAATTTTAATTACTATTATCATCAGTAGTATTATTAGTAGTACTATTATATTTTATTTTGTTTCAATTACTAAACTGTTCTTATCTCTACCCACAAATTTTACTTTTTCTCCTCTGATTCTCCTCTGCCCCATGATTGGTGGATGAGTGAGTGAGGGGCTGCATGGTACTTGGTTGCCAGCTGGCATTAAACCACAATGCTGGAAGACATGCCTGAAGTGACTTGGTTAGGTGCATTTTTCCTCAGCTCTGCAGAGACACACTGAGCCAAGGAACCACTCTGAGCATGTTTTCTCCTCCCCCCACCTGCACTGGTCAGTGCTGCCACCACCAACGATAACTGCTCCTCTGTTTTCTTCTCCTGTCTCTGCTTACCTCCCTCTGTCTTCTTTGCTCTTCTAATGCACACCTCCACTCACTGTCCCCTCTTGCCAACCCTCTTTCACCCCATTTGTTCAGACCTATTTCATGAAATACATCAGCTATGTAATATGCCTGATGCAGGGGAGTAATCTGAAAGACGTTGAATTATGTACATTTGCCTATTCTTAAGCTCGCTCAAGAGAAAACTTTTAATTGCTGATGGAAACAGGGAGCTGGTTTGTGTCTAGTCCTTAGACTAGTTTGTGAACTGTCATGCTTATGTATAGAATTTTATGCTGGTAAATGCAGAATGATCACAATAATTCATAAAACTCAAAACTTACCCTACTCTCAAAAATAACCCTTTTCATCCTGGATGACACTCTGTCATATATGTAATGCATTAATATCATAATACCTATGGCTCTTCCAAAACAGTTCTGCCTTTTATTAGGACTTTCCAAATGGACAATACATCATATATGGACATTTTCCTCAACCTTTGCCTCCCACCCCATTCTCAGCAATAAAGTACATATCCTTGTACCTGCAGATATTCAGCAACAGAATTGTAATACATTTCAAGTTCATCAATTTACTTACCTCTGCACCTGAAAGTCAAGCATAAAGTCACAGCACCAACAGCAGCGACACTTGCACATCCTGTTATGAGGAGATAGGGAAGCCTGGGGGAAGTGTCTGAGAGATTAGAAAAGAGAGCTAGTTACAGAACCAGATGTCTACCAACTGTGTGATGTTACTACCTGCCTTAATCAGAGGAAAAAGCTAATTCTCTGCCTCCACAGCTCAAATGAGCAGAGACCAACAGATGAAATGTCTGGATCCCAACCAGCAACAGGAAGGTGTCTCACACACCCAATTATTTGTGTGTACAAACACTTTCATTTTCAGCTCATCTGCCTTCACAGTCCTTTTCTTCAAATATTATTAGCCCTGCAACAGCAGAACTGACCAACCATCCCTGCAAAATGCTGTTATTAATGACTGGTCTATGCTGACTTCTGTCCTTCATGCCTCTGCTGAGATATTTTGGTGATATGAGCATTTATTTAGCTGTTCTTAACAAATCCTACTGCAATAGACTTCTAACAGGTCCAGCACAGCCAGCTGAGAAGATGAATTTTACCTTTCACTACCACTGACTCTCTGAAAGAACACTTGAAAGTCACAGACAGACATTCTCCAATGAATTTTTCTCCAGACCATCACCACTGTGGGAAGCTGGGCAAAATTACTCTCTATCAACATGCACTAGGTCTTCAGCTTATAACCCCACTACCAATCCGCAGAGCCCTGGCATCCGGTGGGAGTAGCTGCACAGAACAGCAGAAAGAAGCCCAAGAGCATGATGAATAGCAATTCTGATGTTATTTACTTGTCAGGTCTATGGACAGAGTCTGGTTTGTGGCTGGGTGGGTAACCAGGCAGGTGACAGTGGGAAGTGTGTTGTTAACCCAGTCTGTGTAGCTCACTCTGGTCACTGTTCCATTGGGGTGATGGACTTCTTCCTCAGTGCTGTGATTACTTGCAGGGATCCAGGAGATGTCAGCAGCTGGCTTTCCTGCAGATGCTTGACAAACAGCCACCCTGCTCTTATTGTGGGTCAGAGTCACTGTAGGAGGGACTACAGAAGAAATAAAACCCACAACCATTATTTCAGTATAAAACCACCAAATGAGGAACTGAAAAATAGGTGGTATTTTTAGTTTGCACGACCAATTCACGAGATTTTTAAATAATTTGGGATATTAGCACCAACAATTTTTAGGGGAAAAATACATTAAAAAGTCTGAGTTGGATACCTTGAAAACTAGCTAGCTGCATCTAAAACACTGCTTCCTCCTGTTTTCCAAAAGGTGACTAATAGGAGATGGGATGATGGAGAGCAGTGGATTAAATCAAGATTTAGAAGTAGAGCAGTGTACATACTGAAGAAAATGCAGCTTGGTGAAGCTCCAAATAAAATATTTAGGAGACTGGACAAGTAGAATAAAAAATGGTATAGCAGGGAAATAGAAGAGGAATCAGAAAAACACTGTTCTGCTTGAAATCCAATGACTCATATTCTGCAATTGACAAAACAGGGAAAGGCTTGCATAAGACCTAAACCGTTTCCTAATATTCTTTTTTTCCTGCCTATGTAGAAAATAGACTTATTTAATTTATATTTTAGTGATGCAATCTTACCTACCACAGTCAGAGAAGACAAAAAATGAAAATTCCCTTCAGTGTTGGCAATTTCACAGGTGTAATTTCCCTCATCATCAAGGTTCACAGGGTAAATACGAAGCGCAGGATCTCTGTCAGGTGAGTATTTCCACATCATCCTCTCACTGCAGTTTAGCTTCCAAGTCTCATTGTAATCAATTCTATAGGCCAACAAGCAGCAAATGCTGCATTTCATCTTCCATGACACCATCACCAAAGATGCCTTGGAGATGTGTGGGCAACTCAAAACAGCCTCCTGACCAGCTTCCACACTCACCATGTTGTAAGCTACATAAGAAGAAAAAAAAAAAAGACATAAAAAGGATACTACACCCATCATCAAAGCACAGGAAACCCTTGGCTTCACCACACTTAAAATTTCTACTTCCTTACTGTACTGGCAGCCTTGGGGCACATTGCTCTGTACAGGCACATATTAGCATTCAGCTTCCAGGTCCAGCTTCCTGAAGTCTGGAAATGCAGTGGAGATGGTGCCTTTCTACTGTGGACACTGCCAGTATGTGATACATGCTGATGAGCTGCAAGTCCTGCATCTTTTTTTAGACAACAAATTTCTATCACTCTCATATGGGCTTTGAAAAACTGATGGGGAGGGCAAGATTCACTCTTAAGGGAAAGAAAATTACATTCTGAAAGAATTATTGTATTACTGAATTAGGCACCTTGCTGAAAGGAGAAGTAAAACTGGGGATAGCTGTGGAGCATATACCTGTGATACAGTTAAAACCCAAGATCATTTGGTGCAGCAGTTTAGTAAGGGGCATATGTAGATGCCTTTTCTACCAGAAATCATAGCTCTCCTGATATTTTCCCAGTTGAACAGGAAGATGCATCTTTGGTTGATCTCTGTTCAACTCCTATCAGGTACATCATCCTGTGCCACTCAGCAAGGTACATGGCTTTTTTGCCAGCTGAGGTGACATCACTCTTTGCATTCATATTAAGCAATAGGCAATATTTGCTCTGGTGAACTATGAAGTTTCAATGTACTGGCAAAATGGAAATACAGACAACTAAACAGTGCTGCATGTAGTTTTGGATTTTTCTCACTTACCTGTCCCTTTAACCAGATTGATTGGCAAGAAAAGGAGCACAGCCAGAACTGCCCATTTCTGAGCCATCTTTAGCAGAAGGAATCAGCACTGCAGAAAGTAAAGGCAAAGAAAAGGGCATGTAATCACAAATTGCTGTGCAAATCCCTTCAAAGAGAACATGTAGTAAAACCTGTTTACTTTGAAAACAGAAGTTCTAAACAAGACCCTGTGTCAAGTATCATTCTTGTACTGAAGAAAGGAAGGCAAAAAGGGGGTTGAAATTTTTTTTAAAAAAAGACCATTACTGTTTCCAAACAATTATTTACAATCCAGGATTTCTGATACCATTCAGAATCTAGCTTTCATCTACTACTTGGCAAAGCAATTATTCCTAACTCTTGCATGCTTTTAATTGCTTGAAGGGTAATTCCTCTTCTGTAACAGAACAAAAAGCTTAACTGTCTTATTGTAAGAAATCAAAACCATGTGAGTTTGTTGCCTGCTTTCACAGACACAGTGAATGAAAGAGGCATCTAGTAACTCATGCTATTATACGCCTTTAACAAACGATATGTTATAAATTTCTAGCTCTTTTTTGGCAGAAGGGCAGTGGTTCATTGGTAAGACTGAGAGTGTTGTCATCCAACACCTTGTTTTCCGGTTCACACCAAAAAACCAGAACTCTATGCTATCCAAAAGCTTTCCAACCAAAATATATATGGTTCTCAGTGGAGAATTTTGTTGCAAACTCATTCAACTGTTTCTTGAACATGGATTTGGCTAAGAACATCACTGCTATTTTCCGACGGTCAGATAACACACATAAATTATCCCAATTTTGCATGGCAAACTTGCATCATACTGTACTGAATGATATACATTTGCATTTCACAGTCAAAACTCCCAGCCTCTTCTGCTCAGGTCTCAAGGGTGAGCACCCTACTGCAGTAGGTACTCATGCTGGTTCTGTCACAGATGAAAGGCTCTCACAACCAGAGCATTGCTGTGCCCTCAGCCAGCTGGGGGATAAATCCCAGGACTGGGAGTGTGTGCCTATTTTCACAAGAATACAGTAGCCATAACCTGACTGCAATTTTCTGATGTTACTTTAAGAAATCAGTGGCTGTACTTTTGTCTTGGGGCTCCCTGCAGCCTGCCCATAAAGCTATCTCATTTTCCATCACTCACCTCTATGTTCCCTCAAATTGTCTTCTTGGCAGACCTTTTGTCATTTACTCCTTTATACTGCCATTTCTATCTCTTTAATATTTTACTTTCTGAATCAGTCACCCACAGCTAGAGATGATTGGAAAATTGGGTTTCCATCCCATGGGAAATACTGATGCATTGTTTTCATTCCCAAGTCAAAACCCAATAAGCACCAGACAAACAAATATCTTTGCGCAGAGGTTGATTCAGAAATATCACGTGTTTCAACAGGACTTTTCTTCTCTGTTATCTGGATCATGCACTGTTCACATCCATATTCAAAGGCAAGAACACTTCTCAGCATGTGCTGAGAGGAAGAGGAAAAGCAGCCAAGATTCACCAAGCACACAGAGACCTAAATCCTCATCTGGTATCAATTGCTGTATAAGTAACAGGCTTCAATTATGCAGCATTAAGAATTTCATTTTAAACATGAAACATATCAAGTGAGAATGCCTGATGTACAGAAGAAAAACCAGACCACTGACACACTTGTTGCACAGAAAGAACAAATTCTGTCACATTCATGAGTCCAGTGCAAGACACCTAAGATGTAAGGCAATATGTATGCACATTCAAGGCAAGGAATCATAGTTTGTGTTGAAAGGAACCTCAAAGATCATCTTGTTCCAGCCCCCCTGCCATGGGCAGGGACAGTCTACCAGACCACGTTGCTCAGAGCCCCATCCTACCAGACCAGGTTGCTCAGAGCCCCATCCAACCCTGGTCTTGAACACTTCCAGGGATAGGACATCCACAATGTCACTGGACAACGTGTTCCAGCACCTCACCTTCCTCAATAGATTTGTTTTCCTCAAAGAATTGTTTTCTTAACAATTCTAACAAAACAGTCATGCATCTGGATAAAATGCTCTCATTACAACCTGGAAACAATGCCAATACATCCACATTGATCAGTATTCTGCTACTAATGTGCAACTTAATCCTTACATTTAAAAGAAACACCCAAATTTACTCTTCATTCACATGAAATCTTTGCCACAAATGAAATATTTTGTTTTGCTTTATTTTATTCAATGCTGTCAAAGGTTTTGGGGTTGCTTTTTTTTTTCAATTTGGATACATTATGCATGCAAAAGTTACTTTCAATCAAAAAGTTTGAAACTTTGAAACTTGAATTTTTTTAATCCAAAAAAATAGAAAATATGCATTTTAACCAAATTATATACTGAATTTGACCCAATTTGCAAATAATTTCTCAGTCTCTTTCAGAAGAAAAGTAAAAAAAGACACCTCCACAATGTTTATCAGCAAATTCAGTATAGATCCATTTTGATGGATCTATAAATATTCATAAACAGAATATTGTCATATTGGAACTTGTCCCAGAGAACTATCTTTTTTAAAAATGCATATAAGTCTCATATATATGGACTTTATTTGCTCAAAAGAATGGGCATTAATGATTCAAAATGGGACCTTACAGAAAGAACATACTATATTACTGTTTAAATATCCATGCATAAACTATCCATACATAAACCACAGAATTTAGTCTGCAATTTTTAGGATTCACAATCCTTGAATACTTGTGCCTGTAAGTGAGAAGGAAGTCTCAAAGTAAAATCCAAAAAGGGGGAAAAAACCCCCAAGCACAGCTGAATCAAATTAATTTAAAAGTAGCAAATGAATATTTGTAGCCTGTCTTGTGTTATTTCCTCTGATGGAATTAAAATGCCTCAATAACTGCATTAAAATAAATTAAAATTTTTACTCAGCCTTGATGGCATTGGCTGGCACAAGACCGTGCAATGTGTGCATCACTCTTCCATTAGCCTCAGCCTTCCAGCTGGGGAACAGCTCTGCTCATGCTTGGATGCATCCCAGCAAGTGCTGAGGCTGCAGGAAAGTTACCCAGTTATCAGCGTGGAGTGGAGCCCTCTGGCCTGGGAGCATGGGAGTTGAACAGCAGCAGTGCCAGTGTGCTCCAGCCTCCTGATACTCACCGTTCTGGGGATGAGTAGAGAGACATCAGCACATGCAGCAGGTCCCAAGTGAATGCCAGCTCCAGTGGCTGCTTATGAGATGGTTCCTGCCCACCAGGGAACTGCAGAGGTGTACTTCCCCTCCCAGTCTGTCCTCACAAGGGGCCTGGATATAATTGCAAAGAAGTGAGAATACTCTCAGTTTAGGACCATCCATCCTAGGTAGTCCCCATTTTCAGCTGTACATGAATTTCTTTCGTTGTTGCTTCTGTGATCTTAACATGCAGCTGATTTGCCTTGCAGACATATACAGCCTCTACTCCTTCCAAAAGAGCTGAGTGAAAACAAAACCTCTGGTGGTACACTCCCCTGAAGAGGATGTGGCAAAGTTAAATGAGGACAATGAATTGCTTTCTGACGTGAAGAACGAATCACACCCTTCGCTGTCTGCAGTTACGCATCAAACACGAGCTACAAGCCTTGAGCTAGGCAAAGCACCAACTTAAAATCAGACAAATAAAAGCAAAGTCCAACATAATTAAAATATACATTAACACAATCTGAAAGAGGGAAAGGTCAGGTATCAATCAGTGCATCAGTAGTCACCATAACTCTTCAAAGAATAACCATGATTCACTCAGCAAAATATGGTTCTGCTTGGCAGTGGAAGCACATTTTAAAGGGTAGGGAAGACCATGCCTCAGAAGTCTGTTCTCTGTAAGACCTGTGCCTTTGGGCAAGGAAGGGCTGGAAGGACAGCAAGAAGAGGCAGCAGTTGCACACGTGTTAGCTTTCCCACTTCTTCTACAAAGGTAAGGTAACTCTCAAAGCAAGGCTACATTATTTAAAATTCAAACCCACACTTTTGACAGTCAAAGCAGCAGCAGCATCTTCTGTAAGGTACTTGATGTTTGCACCTCATCACCAAGACCTCTCTTCTCAATGCCAAGCTCCTCCATCCCTCAGCTCTTGGAGGGAGGCAGAGATCCTGCAGGCATGAGTCCTTGCACCCTACGCAGTGCTGGCTGTCATCTCAGGACACCAGGAACACTTACACTGAAACTTGCCAACCACACAGCAAACAGCTCAGAAGCCTGTAGCTTTTCTGAAGTGAGAGAGACTGGTTATGCCATATTTTTAACATCCCCAGGTCAGCCTCCACCTGCTGCCCCAGTTCCTCCCAAGTAATGGTCCTCTCCTGGAAATTCCTCAAGTTCCTCCACTGAAAATGAAGTTACAAAATACAGGAAGATTCTGATTGCCCTGGGAGGAACACATCTTGCATCAAAAGGGGCAGCAGGCAGATATTCCCAAAGCTGTTCTTTCTCAGAAACTGGAAAATTTTGTGGGGAGAGGAGAGACTGTGTTCTTGCTCTGTTCTTAGCCATCTTCCTTAAGCATCTGTGTCTTGCCTCTGCAAATGCCGCTAGGCAATGGACCTTTGCTTTGACTTTATAGCCTCCTGGTATTTTTATTTTCTGAAAGATATCCTGACCCTGAAAATGGATCTATGAATTTCTGTACTAGCACAGCAGCAGACTGTTAGTGCTGTCAGCAACTGGAGGAGCTGTACCTCTATAGTGCATTTTTTCCTCAGACTCCTTATTTATCTTATACTTACTGGCATTGCTGGAAGCCACGGATTACTTGTATCTGTAAAATTCAACCCATCCAGTTTTTGAGGCAGTTTCATTAAATTCAAATATATTTTTATATATATTCAACTATATAAAACTCTAAAGCTTTCTCTACAAACTGGGAAAGAGAGGGTGAACGGATTTCTGAAAGAGAGAGAAATAGCCTAATAGAAGGAGCTCTCAAAACAATTATGAAAAAGTTATACAAACAACTGTAAAATTACAGTATTTTGGTAACATATACCTGCAAGTAAACAAGTTTGAAATTTCCTCCACAGCAAGACAGACATTTGTG